TCTCGCGTCACTTTTCCAGAGCGCGCGCGCACTCTTGGTGCTCTGTGGACCCCCTCCCTCCCTCCCTAGGTAGTATTTCAAAGCATGTATGGGGGAATAATATAGGATAGTTAACCCTGTGTTTTCTCAACACCGTTTTCCCTCTCACTTACCACACCGTACATAATGCAGCGGTTGTGCTGTACCAGACGCGTCTGTACTTGCAGGCTAACCGACCTAAACCTTCCAGGGGCGGCGGTAATCAATATTGGGATGGGCCGACTGGCTTCGTCCCCTAATACGTCGTATTATTTACGGAATCGACAAATCCTTTACAAGTATGCGATGTATTAGTAGAAATTAGAGCACCGTAATATTGACGTAATAATACTTATTTAATAATATTTTGATTTTAATGATGTAATATTTTCTAGCCATTGGCCTCGATGGGTTAAGTGGGTTGCTTGGGGTAGTACGTTTCGGGTTAGGGGAAACTGTTTTATTTTTTTTATACAGTGGCAAATTGAGAGAGAAGGCTAGATCGAGGGATAGGTGGTGGTAGGATGGAACATTGAGAGGGAAGGGATGAAAGGAGGGGGAGTGGGGGGTTAAGAAGGTGGGGGGGGGTGTCATTGTTACACAGGGTAATTGCACATCTTGCTGACAATGACTGCCTTTGGCCGCTCTTTTCAGTCTCCAAGTTCTTTGAAAAGAGCCAAGTTGCAAATTCAGTGTTCTGATTCTCCTCTTCCTCGTCTCTTCCCCCCCCCCACCCCCTTCACCTCTTTCCACCCCCTTCTCTTCCTCGTCTTTCCTTTTACTCATTTGCTCATTATATCGTATGTTCCGACTCTTTCCTCGTGTGACTATACCTTGTTCGTCTCCTGGTTGCTTGACGGATACTCTGGCGAATGAGAGGGAGAGAGAGAGAGAGAGAGAGAGAGAGAGACAGAGAGAAACCCTGTGTGAGTGACAGATGTGCATTATGAGGACGTCTTCAGGAACACACGAGTTATTAAAGTCATTCCAGCGCTCCAGGTACCTCACACCGGTAGGTCTCAAAGATCTAATGAGAGCCACAGTCAATAACGCATTATGCGAGATCATGCCGCAGTTCCTGCTCACAAAGTTTGCACCTGGAGTGCTCAGGATTGGGAGATCCGTCACCTGTAGCCACCTGCCACAGGTAACGGTAACCCAACCTGATCCTGCCAACCACTGTGTCGCACAGTCTGGTCGACGTTTTGTTCTGCACATGGATATAGGTTTCATATCTGAACAAATAATAGCTTTTTATATACTGATGCTTTCAGATTAAAGTCCGCTTTTTTTTTTTTATTAAGTTATGAGGTACATCTGCATTAGTGCAGCTACCCTAGACTATATGAAGTGGAGTACAGTGTGTCAAAAAAGCTAACTAGGTGATGCTATAAAATCCCCATCACACAGGATGGTTAGTCATACAGAGGCATGTGATAAGCGGTCTGCACTGGCAGACTCCGGATGCATTTTGAGGATATCAACAACACAAGATTGAATAAGGTAGCAGTGGTAATACAAGTCCGCCATCTCGCAGTAGGGGATAAAACTCTAGGGTCGCGGCCGCCACTATTTCGTTTGTCTTCTACTGACATCTTGGTGTTATTGTTAGGTGTGTGTGGGGGGGGGAATTTGTGGGGTTACTCACTCTCGTGTTGCAGTAATCTAGGTCAGTGTTTAGGGCTGGAAGTCAGCGTAGCGCCGGCTTGTATCCAGTCTTGGGTAAGCAAAGATTAAAAGACCGCGCTTGGTAAAAAGGAGAGTGAAAAGAGTGAAGCCGAGCCTGTCATAGCTGGTGAGCCAGCGTCGCCGCCCTCCACGCCGCAGTAGTACCCGCCGCCGCCCTCCACGCCGCAGTAGTACCCGCCGCCACCCTCCACGCCGCAGTAGTACCCGCCGCCGACCTCCACGCCGCAGTAGTACCCGCCGCCGACCTCCACGCCGCAGTAGTACCCGCCGCCGACCTCCACGCCGCAGTAGTACCCGCCGCCGACCTCCACGCCGCAGTAGTACCCGCCGCCGACCTCCACGCCGCAGTAGTACCCGCCGCCGACCTCCACGCCGCAGTAGTACCCGCCGCCGACCTCCACGCCGCAGTAGTACCCGCCGCCGCCCTCCACGCCGCAGTAGTACCCGCCGCCGACCTCCACGCCGCAGTAGAACCCGCCGCCGACCTCCACGCCGCAGTAGTACCCGCCGCCGACCTCCACGCAGCAGTAGTACCCACCCCCAACCTCCACGCCGCAGTAGTACCCGCCGCCGACCTCCACGCCGCAGTAGTACCCGCCGCCGACCTCCACGCCGCAGTAGTACCCACCGCCGACCTCCACGCCGCAGTAGTACCCGCCGCCGACCTCCACGCAGCAGAAGTACCCGCCGCCGACCTCCACGCAGCAGTAGTACCCGCCGCCGACCTCCACGCAGCAGTAGTACCCGCCGCCGACCTCCACGCCGCAGTAGTACCCGCCGCCGACCTCCACGC